GATATTCCATCATTTGCCACCTATTTCAGCCTTGTCCTCTAAAACAAAACAACAACAACTAACTATTCAAGGGTAAGGGAAAAATTTATTGTTTGGTTATGATAAAGAATAATTTACAAACAAATACACATGAGAAAATAATGTATTGGGGATGAAAATTATGTAGAGACATTAAAGCAGAAAAGATGGAAGAAAAAAATGAAATATAAAAAGTCACAAAGACCAGGTAAAGGCTCATGTGCTAATGCCTTTTTTAATATTTAAGTACAAGCTGACTAAATTCCTTTGGGGCACTAATTTTGGTACACTAAAAAGTATATTGGCTCTTTCAACCTTTAAAGATGCCTGTTTAAAGCACCACAGTGACAATTTATTTTTCTCAAATGTACCTGTTACCCTAGGGAAACAGTTTAGCCCTCTGATAAAATAGAATAAAATCCATGTTCCTGTACCCAAGGTACAAACAATTGCAAATTAAAGCAGGTTAGGATTAATTGCCATAAGGGCAATTTTTAAAAATAATGAACCACTTATAACTACAAATTTTACTTGTGCACAGGGATTTTGTTGTAAAATGGAAACACGCACATGAAAACCACGTGAAAGCATTTTTATTAGAGTGAATGAATACATTCAAAATGTGACTTCTCAAAAACCACTCACACTGAAGACGAAACAGCCCCCAAGCCAAACAATTTTCCACAAAACATTTTTTTACCAAATAAGACAAACATTAGTTTGAGGTTCTATTCAAGTATATGGTTGATGATAGCAATGTGGTATTTCTAAAACACATACAGGAGGTATCTAATATAATTACAAGATTTTACAGCCAACATTAAAAATACCTAGCAAACTTTAAACAGGAAAAAAATGCTTTCAGCTAAATCATGAGACAGCACAGTGGTTTTAGGTCTCTTCATTACATGACTGTTGCTCAGTGGAATTCAAGATTAGTCATGACCAGTACTCACAAATTAAATGTTTGTAAAGACTCAGTTTTCCTGATTGCAATGCATTTCACTCCACTCCACATTATTATAGAAAGCATGTGTATGCAAATGTGTTAATATATTTTTAAGTCCTTTCTTCCTCTACCTTGTAAACTCAGATATGAGTTTCTTTCTAAATAATGACAAATAGTAAAGAATTACAACATTAGTTAAGGGTAGAAAAATGGTAGAACCCAATAGAATACAGCTGGACCTCAAAGGCTGAAAATTAAAATACATTTGCATTTTTTAGTGTTATTAATAATAATAGCAATTGATGGTGCACTGACAGACTATACATGGGCAGGCAGTTTTAAAACGATTTTACAGTCAGTCAATTTACTTGAGTATTCCAAGATGTCCTGTTGATATTCTAGACTGGTTTCCAGTTATTTACTAACAGCCCTGTGTGGTAGGTACAGCTACACTTAAAAACAAATGTAGGGAATAAAGGAATACGGAAAGGAGAAAGGCAGAAATACAAACGCATCAAACCAAAATAAAATTGCCTATGATGAGAACATTCTGCTATAAGACTGCATGGGGCTTTCTCATAATTCTCAGTGCAAGTGCTCCAATAGAGGAGTCTAAAGGCATTAGTCAACACATATATTTCTAGAGGGAAGCAACTTCTTTTGGATGTGAGATTAGTCCTTTACACCTCATCTTCAATCCCAAAACTGGTAAGATAAGTGGGAGTTGTCCTAATAGTCACAGGCCTGTCTTAGAAAGCAATGTACTGGAATGCTGTTTGACTAAGATTTTATGAATTTATAATCCAATTCAGTCCAGTGAACTTCACTATAATTTTTCATACCATTTAGTAACAATGTGATAAGGAATCAAAAAATGAAATATTGGCAGTGCCCATACTCAATGGGTAGGGCGCTGGCCACATACACCGAGGCTGGTGGGTTTGAACTGGCCTGGGGCTGACTTAAACAACACTGACAACTGCAACAACAAGAAAAAAAAATAGCCAGGCGTTGTGGCAGGCGCCTATAGTCCTAGCTACATGGGAGGCTGAGGCTAGAGAATCACTTAAGCCCAAGAGTTTGATGGTGCTGTGAGCTGTGATGCCACAGCACTCTACTGAGGGCAACTGTCTCAAAAAAAAAAAAAAAAAGAAGTACTGACTGCAAATAAAGGAAGGTTCACTTGTGTATCTTAAAGGTAACAGCCTTCTAGAAAAATAGTAAGTGTTGGTGAGGATGTGGAAAAATTAGAACCCTCACATATTGCTGAAGGGGATGTAAAATGGTTTACTTTATATGGAACACTCTTTGGTGGTTCATTGAAGAGTTAAACATAGAATTAATTATGTGACAGAGAAATTCCACTCCAAAGTAAAAACCCAAAACAAGTGAAAACAGGTGTTCAAAAAAAGACTTATGCATGAATGTTCATAGTAGTGGGAAGCAATCCAAATTTTCATCAACTGATAAATAAGCAAAATATGATACATCCATCCGATGGAATATTATTCAGCATAAGAAAGAATGAAGCGAGATAGGTTTGACGGCTCACTCCTACAATCCCAACACTTTGGAGGATGAGATGGAAAAGACTGCTTGAGGCCAGGAGTTCAGCCTGAGTAACATAAGGTTATCTCTAAAAAACATTAAAATTTAATTTATGTACAGTGGTACATACCTGTAATCCTAGGTTAATGGGGGTGCTGAGGCAAGAGGATTGTTTTGCTTGTGCCCAGGAGTTTGGGGCTGTAGTGAGCTATGAAGCTTAGAGTATATGGGAAGGGGGGGATGACCAGGCAATCTTCAAATGCTCACATCATTCAACCAACAGTGAAGAATGATGGCTCATATCACTCTGAGACCTAAGCCAGCAAGGAACACAACCACGCTGTAGAACGCAAACCTGATGATACTGTTCCTCCAGCCTCTCCTTTAATGGTTGCTCACTAATCTTAAAACTGAAAATTAAAATCCTTACTCTGATCTGCAAGGTCTTACACATAGTCTGGACTCATCCTCCCAGTTGTTCAACTTCATCTTGCCCTAAGCCTCTCCTCCTTTTTTTCCCCTCTGTTATATAGCCCCTCGGCCTAGTTTACCATTCCAGGTGAGTCCCAGGCTCCATTCTTTTCTATTCCACTGATTCCCTCAGCATAGAATACTCTTCCCTCTTTACCTACTTAATATCATCCTTCATATCTTGCCAACCATCAGTATCTCACCAAGCCTTTCCTAATGAAAACTTAAATGAAGAGAGACCAATAACATATTCTCCAAAATCTATGTCTGCTACAGGGAATGAGCAAAAGCAAATGAAGAAAATCTCACTGTAGTTTCTCAAAAAGGTGTAACTCCAAGTCTCCCGCTGAAGTCTTCTCAAATACACCTACCAATGTTTACCCAAAGAAATCCTTTGTGAATTCCTTGATTTTGCAAAAAGTGCTTTTTTTTACAAAGTTCCTAATCATTTTTGGTAAAAAAAAAAAAAAAAAAAGTAAGGCAGTGATTGTGACAATAAGAACTCTGTATAGCCTCCTCGTACTTTTGTTCATTAAACATAACTTAATGCGACTAGTTATTGTGATGTCTTGTTAATTGATTTATATATAATTCAGATAATTTTTATCCTGAACAGTATTCAGACTTATCATTTCTAGTTGACTAAATAGTTGATTTAAAATGGTGGCAATGGCTCAGCGCCTGTGGCTCAAGTGGCTAAGCCGCCAGCCACATACACCTAAGGTGGCGGGTTCGAATCCCCAGCCCAGGCCCGCCAAACAACAATGATGGCTGCAACCAAAAAAAATGGCCAGGCGTTGTGGTGGGCGCCTGTAGTCCCAGCTACTTGGGAGGCTGAGGCAGGAGACTCGCTTGAGCCCAGGAGTTGGAGGTTGCTGTGAGCGTGATGCCATGGCACTCTACCCAGGGGGATAGCTTGAGGCTCCGTCTCAAAAAAAATAATAAAATAAAATAAAATAAAATGGTGGCAATGATTACTTCTATTTATTTATAAAAAGAGTCAGACTTTAGGCTAGAAATTTAGTCTCCAACACAGTACTGTTTCTGTGAAGAATATTAGATTCAACATATTTGACTTACAGGAAATTTTACATGAACATAAACTACCATAAAATGCAATAACAAATTATAAAAGGTTTCAGGAGGATCTATCATCTGGAGTGAGTATGTACCATGGAACAGAGGCTGGGACAAGGCAAACACAATTCAAATCAGCCAGCCATGTGCCATTCTCTTTTTAAGTTTACCTCATTTAATAATCATAAACTGGGGCAGGGTATTTTTCATAGCATTAAATTTTCTGCAAGCAGAGCAGAGAAAAATATCACTAACCTATAGAAAGTCCGACACAAAAAAACCCTGACAAAGCTATCAAAAGACATTTGTACAAAATACTATCTCTGTGCTTTTTAGAACCTAAAAATTAACCTTAAAGAGTAACACCTTAACGATTAACAGATATTTATTTATACACATACTTAACGTAACAATTAGTATAACAAAGCTTGCACAAAAGGTTTACTGATAAATGAGCAAACAGTAGCATGTAATTAACACCACTATTTCCTGGATCATAGTTTCCAGAACACTATTGGGCAATCAACTCAAAATCTAAATATCACACTGCAAGTGGAAAATAAGACTTGTTTGTTTTTTGTAGTTTTCATCTATACTAATTGTTTATAAATGCAAATGCTAGTAAAGAAGTGTTTCTAAACCCTACTAAGATCAAGGAATTGTTTCTGCAGGTTGAAATAGTTGTTGGTATAATGGGTTAGAAAAGAAAGCTATTTCTTCAAATTAAATCCCAAATGAAAATATTAAAATTCAACATCCAAGAGCTGCAGAGCTGTAAGAAAAATCCCTAATTTCACTGATATTCAAAAAAACAAGCAAATGAGTTTTTTTTCCTTCAGTTTTTGTTATCCCTATGACAAGATTATAGTGAATCTTGTGTAGAAAAACAACTCAAACATACAAGAGGTATATTTCAATCACAAAAACTGCTACTCACCAAATTTTCTGGCATCCTGTGATAGTAATAAAGGCAATGAACAATGGAGTTTTAAAAACATTACATACAGATACACACTCCATCTTGCCCCAGAGCTGAGAAAAAAAAAAAAACAGAACCTAGTAAGAAGACTTTTTCAAGAAAAGTGATGATTCGATTTCCCTAACGGAAGTTTGTTCTTTTTCCTTAGTTCCCCTTGCTAACTATGTTTCTGCAACTATGACAATATCAGGTTATATATAACTCGAAGATGATGAATCCATGGCTTTCTGGGGCCTCACTTCTCTCACCATGCTTGCCCAGAGTGCATGAACAGGTTTTAAATTCGAAACTCTCTACATGCCCTCCAAGACTACCAACTCCCTCCCTCAACACTCTACAACCAAGTAACTCTCCCCTTCTTTCTTTCACATTTTGTTGTTGGGGAAGGTCATCAATCAGCAAATAGGAAAAGGCTGGGGTAAAGCCAATCATGTTGCTACTTTGGACTGCAGTGCCCTCTGAGCTAGAGTTGTACCAGTTCCTGCAAAAGACAAGTTTACAGCCTCATGGGGTTGACAGAAAATACAAGTAGGACCTAAGTGAAGGAAGTACATAAATATATTTTCAGCACACTGCCAAGTAAACACAGAGGAAGAAAGAAATAAGGGTTGCTGAAATGCAGAGACTGGGACCAGGCAGAGTTAGTCTAAAATGTTCAGATTTGTTATGTCTGAGCCTTGAATAATTTTGGCTTCTTCTAATCCAGAACTTAATCAAATTAGTTTTAAAATCAGTCATCTATTTCACATGTTTTGTGCTCCAAAGGTAGCGTTTGCATACGGTGGCATGAAAACTTCATTTTCAGTCATATACCGTGGTTGGTTTCAGATCTACTCTAACATGAATTTTCCACTAGTAGTTCTCAGCCAGAATGTTCTGCTCTTACTATATTGGTCTCCCACCTCATTTTCTCTACAAGTATCTCAGTTTATTTACAAGTGCTGTTCTCTTGGACGGGAATTGTCTGCATGAGCCTCCTTGAAAGTAAACTGAAAGTTCAACTAATGCCAAATTCATCAGCTTGATTAAGAGTCTCTGTAACATATAGAGAGCTGTAGATACATAAAACTGGCAAACCCTTATGGACTGGTTTCCCCTCAAGGTGATCAGCCACTGGTTCTTAAAGCTCTGTGTCTTATTTTCTTAGCATGGGATTGGGATTTGTTTCCTGAGTGAAGATAAACCAACATCAAAGTGTATCTTATGAGCAGATTAAGAATTCTGTAGATAGATAGATGGAAGGACGAATGGATGAGGGATGGAAGAATTACAGATATGGCTCACTCATTCAACTAAACCAGCCCAGCCAACAAATCAGTGTCATTTAGAACCATTTGAGATCACTAAGGATCATCAAGCTATGTTTTGAGAATACAGTTTGATCAAGGCTAGAGTCTCCATCTTTAACCCTACTTTTTATGCTCAAAAATCAGAGGTACACTGACATTTGTGATTTTCATGACCTTCTTTCAAAAAGTATGGCAAGTGCCAGGTTGTTTCAAAGTGGCCATACAAGGGATGGTGAAGAAGAAGAGCATACTGGCTAAGTGTGGGAATTCTGTCTACATTCAAATCTGCCACTTACTAGCTATGTGAGCTGGGGCAAGTTACTTAAGCACATGATGTCTCGGTTTCCCCATCAATCTAAATGGGGATAATGATGCTAATCTTAACTTAGAAAGCAACATAAAATAATAAATTCCTATGCTTCCAATAACCAGTTGCCTCTGATACACATAAAAAAATAATATTCATGTAAAAAATGTAATCCTAACATAAATAATTAAAATACATTTACAGAATTATTACACTTGAAACTGAATGGGTACAAATTAAATCAACATGGACATATTTCTAACCAGAATAAAAAGTGAAATGCAATCTTTGTGAAATAAAAGCAGAAAGTGAACAAGCATACAAAATCAAAATGATCACAAATAGTTCTATAAACTATGCCACAGTGACTAGATAACACTTCTTAATTAGTATATGAACAAACACCAATTATAAACAGTGTCTTTCCTCAGGACTCCATGAAACACTTGAAATACTTAGAAAACCAAATTTAAAAGGTTATGACAAATGACTCAGTTTAGGGTTCAATGTGTGAAGCAGCAGAGTTGAGGGTGGCTCTGGGTAGACACTAGGCTGGAAGCAGAAATAAACAGCATGCGTAAACAAATTCACACAACTATGCTATATCATGTGGCTCAGCAACACCTGCAATTCAGGGAAAACTCAAAGCTGGGAGTAAGAGGAAAGCACATATATAGGTAGGCAGTAAGATAGAATCTCCCATCCTGCTGTGGTAGCACCCTATTTAAAGGGGAAAATATGGCCAGAGCAGCAACTGGCTAGTCTAGACAAAGAGAGGGCCACAGGTTTAGAACTAGAAATATCTGGCCTTGGGCATTTACCTTCTTCTACCATTCTTTCCAAATCAAATCAAATAATCTGTATGTGTAGGGGCATATGTAAGATTCCCTCTAAACCAAAGGCCCATCTTGCTTTATTGAAATGTTTTTAAAATATGGAATGAGCTAGGCACAGCAATAAGCATCATTTCCATGCTAAATTAGGAAACTCATTTCACCAGAAAACCAACTGTGAATCTCAGTTCCCCCTCTCTCAGTCTCAGTTTTCCCATTCATAAAATGTGGGAATTGAATGAGAAAGGTTCCCTTGGACACATGATATTTTACAGATTTACCAAGATAGATAGAAACAAGATGGCCAACTAGACGCAGGTAGTCATGTGCATCTTCCATGTAGAGTACCCAGAATAGTGAGCAGATTCTCACATTTTTAACAGATCATCTAGGAGAAAATTCCAGGATTCACCAGGGGAATAACAGGAAGCACCAAAAAGAGGTAAAGAGAGGATTCCCACCAGGGACTGGCTAACAGCATGGAGAAACTCTTGGGGGTTGGGAAACAGAAGCCTCCAAGCTTCTACCCATCCAAGGCTCTACTCTCTGAGAGGAGCTTTTAGAATCTTGTCTTGGAATTACCATAGGGAGCTGCCTGGAGATTGCACAGCAATGTCACCATCATCTTAAGTGAAGTAACTTAGGAACAGAAAAATTCCTCATGTTCTCATTTACAGGTGGTAGCTAAACTATGGCTACACAAAGACACAGAGTGGTACAATGGCCACTGGAGACTTACAGGAGGGTAGAGTAAGAGGGGATGAGGGATGAAAATTTACCTAATGAGCACACCAAAAGCCCAAACTCTGCCACTATACAATATACATATATAACAGAATTCAACTTGTACCCCCTAAATATATTCAAATATAAATAAATTTATAAAACAAAGTAGTAAAGAAAATGTAATGTGTGATAATGCAGATTCAACTTTTTTAAAAGTGAAAGCAAAAATTAACAAATTAGTAACCTAAAGAAGGAATGTTTAAAATGGTGGAATGAACATAAGCAGGTATTTATCTAAAAGAATGTCAGATGAGGGTGGCGCCTGTGGCTCGGTGAGTAAGGCATCACCCCATATACAGACAGTAGCAGGTTTAAACCTGACCCAGCCAAACCACAAAAACAACAAAAAAAAGAAATAGCTGGGCTTTGTGGCGGGCGCCTGTAGTCCCAGCTACTCGGGAAGCTAAGGCAAGAGAATTGCCTGAGCCCAGGAGTTGGAAGTTGCTGTGAGCTGTGTGATGCCACGGTACTCTACCAAAGGTGATAAAGAGAAAGAAAGAAAGAAAAGAAAGAAAAGAAAGAAAAGAAAGAAAGAAAGAGAGAGAGAAAGAAAGAAAGAGAGAAAGAAAGAAAGAAAAGAAAAGAAAGAAAAGAAAAGAAAAAAGAAAAGAAAGAAAAGAAAAGAAAAGAAAAGAAAAGAAAAGAAAAGAAAAGAAAAGAAAAGAAAAGAGAAAAGAAAAGAAAAGAAATTCAGATGGTTAAGTGGTTAAGCAGTCATGACCAACCAACCTTAGATCCTAGTGGACACACCTGTCTTCCTCTTCCTCAGTTTCTCCAGTATACCTCACCACCCTAGGGGCTGAACTCAGCCCTTCTCCCCATTGCTGACAAGCCTCAGGTCCAGGGATCCTCTCTCTCTCTCTCTCTCTGCTTTGGGGGCACATAGCCTCCAGTTAGCTGATGCTCAATTTTAAGCCTTGCTAGAATACCACCTTACTAAGTAGTGTTTGATTTTAGTGACCAAAGGCAATGTGGGACAAAACAAATCAGGAACTATTCCAGAGCTGTGGTTTTAAAAAATTAGAAATGGGGCAACGCCTGTGGCTCAGTGAGTAGGGTGCTGGCCCCATATACCAAGGGTGGTGAGTTTGATCCCAGCCCCAGCCAAACTGCAACAAAAAATAGCTGGGCATTGTGGCAGGCATCTGTAGTCCCAGCTACTCGGGAGGCTGAGGCAAGAGAATTGCTTAAGCCCAAGAGCTGGAGGTTGCTGTGAGCGGTAATGCCACAGCACTCTACTGGGGGTGATAGAGTGAGACTCTGTCTCTAAAATAATAATAATAAAATTAAAAAAAAATTAGAAATGGCCGGCAGGGTGGCTCACGGCTATAATCCTAGCACTCTGGGAGGGCGAGGCAGGTGAACTGCCTGAGCTCATGAGTTCCAAACAGCCCTGAGCCAGAGTGAGACCTTGTCTCTAAAAACAAAAATAGCCAGGTGTTGTAGCAGGCATGTCTAGTCCCAGCTACTTGCGAGGCCGAGGCAAGAGAATCACTTAAGCCCAAGTTTGAAGTTGCTGTGAGCTATGACGCCACACCACGCTACTGAGGGGGACAAAGTTAGACTCTGTCTCAAAACAACAAAAAAAAAATTAGAGAAATCATTATAAATATTTCTACTTTTTAATTAATGCATTTATTAACAATAAATGTTTAGGTGGCACCCATAGCTCAGTGGGTAGGGTGCTGGCCATATACACTTAGGCTAGAGGGTTTGAACCCAGCCCAGGCCTGCTAAAACAACAATGACAACTGTAACCAAAAAATAACCGGGCGTTGTGGCAGATACCTGTAGTCCCAGCTACTTGGGAAGCTGAGGCAAGAGAATCACTTAAGCCCAAGAATTTGAGGTTGCTGTGAGCTGTGATGCCATAGCACTCTACCAAGGGTGACATAATAAAACTCTGTCTCAAAATAATAGTAATAATAATAATAAAAATAATAAATGTTTAAAGCTATTTATTTTTATTATCAAAGGGGTTAGGTAGTTTTGAGAGAATATGAGAAAATAAATGTATGGGAGAAGCAATGAGAGGAGTCTGAATATAGATGATATATTCAGGTGAGTAGAGAAAATAAAAAGAATTCAACGTGACCCACACTAAGTATAAACTACATTAATTAGAG